GCTTGCTAAGGCCAGTAGATAATATAATATTTCTTGTGTGTGCTTTTTAAGAAGTCGCACCCAATATGCAATCGCAATCTGTGTGAGGTAATAGTGATTAGCATTTGGATATTAATAGGGCGTTTGTAAAGTAATTTACAAGTCCAACCATGCACTTATGTCATGCAGTTTGCCGTCTATAGCCCAAATACAGACCTACTACAGTATCCATCTATAGCTTGCACTTTTCAGAACCTCTGCTCGTATCCCGTTGATCCCAGTACGTTGTGTGAATGGGGGCTTAAGGTATTTCGATTAAATACCCACCTTCAATAACTGTCAAACCAGAGTCCTGGAAACCAAGGCTGGCACTGCAACTGATATTTCTAATACTATTAATCAGGGGTGCAGCTGATTGACAACATTTCTGGTACTATTTTTGCTGTATTATTTTTTTGACAATGACGCTTAAAGAAGTTGGCACTGGGTTGGCAATGGACGTCAATTAAGCGCTCTACAGTCCCTTGGATATGCTGTTATAATTTATTGCTATCGTTATTATTGGGTAACCGGTTTTCTGCGGAAGCAGTACGTAGCATTTCTTCAAAATCGGCTTTCCAAATATTTCTGCACCTCTTTATTTGCGATTTTGGAGACTGTAGAGAACACACGCAGGTAAAGGCAACGTGTTCACTTAACCCAAGTGGCGGCTGTGAGTTAACTTCCCTTATGACCCCCTATTTTTTACTAAAACGAGATCTAGACAGTTTGATCACTGGCCGTCTACCAGCCGCGTTGTGAAGGCTATTTGTTGAATGAGATATTCGTCCAAAGTAATCTGTAGTAGTTAATAGTTGAAAGGTGCTGCTGTGGCCTTTACTCCGGGATTCATCCAATGGAGTCATTTCAGGAGTAATAGATCGTCTTGTTTACAGATAACTTTCAGTGAATTTAGCAGTTCTACGTCGTCAGTTTCGTTGGAACCGGGAGGCCGATAAAGAACGCATATATTGAATGCCGGCTGTTACCTAATCTTAATCTTGCACGAAAGTATTTCATATCGTCGTAGGACTACGTCAGCAATTACCCGCTGACAATAGGAAATTTCATTGGCTACATAAAGCGCCATGCCTCTGCCCCTATGTTGAGAGCTGTCGCAGCGGAACATTTGATAGACTTCGATACTGATTTCGCTGACCCCTATTGCTTCAGTCAGCCAATTCGCTGTCAAGGCAATTATATGCGGTTTCTGCTCAGATGCTATTATTTTGAGTTTGCCAAGTTTATTGAAGAGACTCTGACAATTAGTGTAATTGATCTCGAGGCAGAGGCCACTATTGCTTGTGGTATCTTCTAAAACCGACCCGCTGACTTTGGTTAAGTATAACAATATTGGAGTAAATTAAAGTAATCAACGCCTTCCCAAACGTACAATAATCAGAAAATAATGGAACAAATTGTCGAAGGTTTGTTTGCTTAAATCTTCATATATCTCGAGTTGTTGTTTTAGTTGTTACGTGATGCCGCTGATTTCGACGAGTGTCCTCGCGCTTTAGCCGTGCTTGCGCCT